ACCATATATGGCCTTAATCGCTCTCCACTGCTCCCATTGGTCCGTTCTCCCTAACACCCCCCCCTGCCTACTTCGTATATAAGCAGCACCTTCCACATCCTATCACCACAGCTACTGCTCTCCGCAGCTATTCAACTGCTCTGAAGATGGAGGCGCTACGTTCCTCCGAAACGTCGGCCAAAACGAAGAATACACGGTGCCTAAACCCAGAAGACAACTTTCTTTATTAAGATTAGCTTCACCTTAGCTTCATTCTGTGAAAAGTATATATTGCAACAGAATTAATGAAAATAAAAGCCCGTATTTTCTGGATGTAGGCCACATTTCAATTATTGTAAATTAAAAGGTACTTTCCCTCCTTAAAAGGAAGAGATCACCATGCTGTCTGTGTATCTGTGCACATGGAGACATGTGAAGTAGATGTGACACTAGCAACACTTATTGTAGGGTCATGAAGTGATGCATGGTAATAGAACTTTATTAAAAAAAAAGAAAAAAAGAAAAAAAAAAGAGGTTATTCCCATGATGCCAAAAGCCAAATACTGACTGGCAAATTCAGAAAAGATAAGAAAACACTTTGTTTTGTAGTATTTTTTTATTGCTAGTGGGGTGGGACTAAGTCCCTTGTACTGCAGCCACTTCTGGCTTATTGTACCAGCCCCAGATGATAGGTGAGGGTGATTGTGGAGCAGTTGGTGGAATGAAGATTGGCAGGTGAAACCGAAGTACTCAGAGAAAACCTGCCCCAGTGCCACTTTGTCCACCACAAATCCCACTTGACCAGACCAGGATTGAACCGGGGCCGTCACAGTGGGAAGCCAGTGACTAACTGCTTGAGCTATGGGGCGGCCTTGTTTTGTAGTAACTCATATATTTTAATGAACTCTATAGCATGTTGCACAGATGTCTGTAGGGATTCAAAGTGTTAATAAATTAGATGTGTACAGATCTTAGGTTTTCACTGTAATCAAGATTCATAATATGGTTTTCTGGTTCATAACACTGCACAGTCCAGTAGATGGATACCAGGTTACATGGTATCAGAAGCCAGAAAACCACAACAGAAGTGACAAGATTTTTTAACATGTTTAAATCAAGACTCATTACTGTACACAGAAAACAATGTAGTTTGTTCCTGTTTATATAATAGCACTATATTATGTTATACTCTATTGAACGGCAATATTACAATAACCATTCTGAAGACAGAACAGTGGAAGGAAAGACACCTTCAGGCTGTCGGTATAGTTTAGTGACATATCCACTATGTAAATCAAGTGTGTGCGCGTGAAAAGCAATTTTTCAAGCACTTGTGCATCTGAGGTGTGAAAAACTCTAAAAATTTAATAAATTAATTTTAAGTCAGCAAAATTTAGTGCTACTACAAGTCACCATGCTGGTCATCAGAGTTCAAAACTGGGGACAAATGATTGTACAGGACCCTTTCAGGAGGACAGCATGCTCGATGTGAACATGTATCTGAACCAGCAGCTTCAGAACTTACAGTCTCACTCTACCTGGTCTTCAAAAAGAATACTGTGGTTCTTACCAAGACACCTAATTTTCCCAATGTGACTACAGCAGCTCCAATGTGTTCAACAAGATTTCGAGCAAGGAATGATGCCTCATTCAGTATGTTGTCATCTTCCCAAGCAGAATGATATTGACTTAGACTGTAAAATAACCCTGAAACAAAAACACATGTCTGCACTATATGGGTAATTAGCAAAACATAAGAACTATTATACAGGTATTTATATGAGCACATACTGGCAGCACTGAAAATCGTTTTGTTTCAGCAAAAACTTGTCACAAAAAATAAATCTGTATGCAGTTCAAATTGGAAGACTACAATGAATATAAGTGGAGTGAAAATTTAAACAGTGTGCATTCTTTCTTTAATTAGTGCTTGCATCATCACTGTTATTTTATTTGCACAATGAATTAAGGCTCGGAAATAGAGTTTTGTGGTGAGTGAAAGAGTGTGTACACAGATTTAGGGGTTTTTATGCCATCACATGACACATTGTTTCTTTTACGTATACAGCATGAAAACCACCAAACTCTTAAACATGACTGAATTGTGAGTATATGGGACACATAATATAAAGTATGAATATAAAGTCTGTGAAAAATTACTATCAATATATGAACAAATTTAAAGCAGAGGTTCACATGTGTAACTGAATTGAGAAGTAAGATATTCAGAACAATTTGAAGTGAATGACAATATAAAGCCTCACCTGAAGCCTGTGACATCACTTGCAACTCATTCAAGTTGGGTGAAACATAGCCCAAAGTTGTCCAGTGCCGAGATTGGAACACTTTCCCAGCTTTCCTCACATCTGTTGGTTCAAACCAAACTGCCAACAAAGACAATTATGCTAGTTCCAAAGATTAAATTACTTGTCACTGAGTGCATGACAGACTGAATTTAATATTATATATGGGTGATTGTAACAGAGAAAAGTGTGCAGAGTAAAATATTAATGTGCATTGGAAAGCTGATAGATGGCACAGGATGGTTGATAAATGAAGGCAGACAGAAGCTGTAGACACATCTGAAGGTAATACAAAATATATTTTTCATGTTATGAATTAACGCAATAATAAAGTACTTCCCATTTCTATATTCTACGAAGATTTGTATCATCTTATGCATCTCAAAACTGCAAACAATGTATGCAGGATGTTATGACTATATTATCTCTAGAATACAGGGATAACTAGCATGAGTTTCCGTCTGTTTCAGCCAGTAAGCATATACTTACTTATTTACTTACTCATGGAGCTGAGCCCTTCTGGAGGAGCTGCCAATTCTGCAGCTACTCAAGAATTTCCCAGCATTTTATGGAACCTGAAGGTTCATTACCGTGTTCACAAGAGCCCTCCACTGGTCTCTATCCTCAGCCAGATCAATCCAATCAAAACCATCCCATCCTCTCTCTCTCTAAGATCCATTTTAATATTGTCCACCCACCTATACCTTGGTCTTCCCAGTGGTCTCTTTCAGTAAGCATGTATGAAACCCAAATTCATGAGGTAGGGGAAAGAGGTAAATTAGAAATTGTTTTTGTCTGGTCTAGTAACAGTACATGAAACATGAGTTCAGCAACACAGGAATAAGAATTTACTAAATCATAACGTTTTTCCTGCCAAACTATCATTTCCATGTGATCTGTAGGTTAACAGAAGATTGTCTACAGGTTCTGCACACATCACCAAACTATCATTGGGGCACTGAGAGATAGTCTCAGGGCATCCAAGTAATTTCATGTGATGTCCTACAAACATTTCTTATGATCTGCTAAACACTGTCCACAGGATATCTTAAAGATATTCTGTTAGAATATCTGAAACATAATTATGAAAGGATAATGTAAGAGTTTAAATAGCCTTTGTATGAACATATGGGCTGTCCTGGGTACATCCAGGTACTCCCATTGTACTCCTGAGGGTATATAATTGACTATATTATGACCAGTTGAGCTAGGCTGTTACAATAGTGTACAGTAGGTTAACCGTATTGATTAAAACTCAGATTTGGTAGCAGGTTAAGAGGATTTGATAAATCAAATTGGTTTTGTTGTGCCTAGTAATAACTGTGAATAATTCTTAATATAAGTGAGAATGTATATAACCCCAATACTGTTAACATGTTCCTTCCTGAATTTGTATTCATTAACAATTTCTAAATTACATAAGAAATTAACTCTCTTTCAAAGTCTACAAAGTGTCCAAAATCTGGTCATCTTACCCTAGTTCTGCTTCTGTACCAAACTTGAATTCATGTCATAAACCATGGACTCTGGACCTGTGACCTTACAGAGGCACTCTCATATCTTTAATATTATCAGTATCAGTTATTCTTTTCACATGCTCTAACATTATCAACATCATTGTCAGTACAACCACTTTAGGTACTGCTCTTGAATAGCACACCATACTGCTGCTACTTTATTCAGTCTGTTGATGTTCGAAGAAATTTGTATGCAATTGAGAATATGTTATTTACAATACAATGCTTCTCAGCATATTTTGACAACCTCATTTTTAGAGCCTGTTACAGCCCACCATTCCAGCTAAAAATATCAATTAGTTAAATAATGTTTTAAAAATGCAGGCATTAATGGAATAACAAACACATTTACTTATTTTCCAAGAATAAGAAAAATAATGCAGAGACATCAAAAATTGCATTTGCATTCTGTATGAACACACACACAAAGAAAGGGAGGTTTTCCTTGATTTGCTTTTCAGATGCACATAGGTTTGCTTAACAAAAACTCAAACGATATAATAATAATGTGAAATACATCCATAATAAGTTTTTGCCAGTAATAATCGGGAAGAAAGTTATGTTTGTTGTTTATATTGGAGACTGCCTTCCATATTTAGTGTATTTCCATGACTAGCTTTATTTTAAGCAGATTCAAAAAACCTTCCTCACACTCATAAGTAAAGCAAAGAGGAGAATTTTTAAAACCATGTTTGCCATCTTGAATATTGCACAATTCTACAGACTTAACATTACGTATTAATAGGGCATAAAATAAAAAAAACTGTGACTCATTTATCCTTTGATAACTGGTCTTCCATGTAAAACATAAATTTGTTGTAAACATTAATTACATCCTACTTAAAAGACAGATAAGAAAACACCCATAACAGTACTTCTTCTGGATGGGAGACAGTCAAGAACGGAATTCCACAAGGCTGAATTCTTGTTCATTTTTCCGAAAGAAAGCAACAGAAGGCCAATAGGAGTTACATATTGAATAGCGCCATACAATAAATGAAATACTGTTAAACCGACCAGATAAAGGATATATGTGGAGGACATGTAGGGTGTCAGACACGAGAAATATATAAACAATTTTACTTGGATAAGATCTTAGCAGGAGTATAATATTGTGACATTCCATCAAATTCTCCACAAATAAGAATATCTAAATAATTCTAAATTGTAATCAGCAGTAAAAAATTGTAACTATTGTAATTTTAATCTACTTATATATCAAATTGTTAATATTCAGAATTAACTTGACTTGTCATATATCATGTACAATGATCTACAGTGACGAAATCAATCAATCAATCAATCAATCAATCATAATGCTTGAAAGGCGGAATCGTGAACCCAGAGTAACGCCATGGCGTGTCCGTTGCTAGGCAATGCTTCAGTAAACACTTATCCGCTGCGCACGGCAACAACAGAGTAACTAGAGTAATGCCACGTTGACTCCGTTGCTAGGCAATTCCCCAGTAAACACTCCCCCTAACCGCTGCGCGTGTCACTCCAGTAGATAGAGAAACAACATAGCGAGTCCGTTGCCAGGCAATGCATCAGTAAACACTTCCCCTTTGCCCACGGCAACAGCAGAACTACTAGGGGGGGGCGGTATTTACCGTGATGTCTGACCTCATGTATTATAAGCAGAACTGCAGCTGAGTTGTGCTCATTGTGCTGACAGAAGTGTCTACAGCTAGGACGGACAGGAGCAAAGAACATTGAAGAGAATCGTCATTTCCTCACGGCGTTACACAGCAACGACTGGTGGGTACATAATAATTATTTGTAGCTGTAGTTATTTGTTGATCGGGTAGAAGGGAGAAAGTACTGTAATAATATGTAGATATGAATACGTTTCTTCAATCACTCCATAACCCATGCCCAGTCATTAACACGTTACAACATTGACATTATACCTTCGAAAATTCGAAAACTACGACAACCAATGGTACCACGTTAACAAACTAAAACTCCGCATTCTGCCCACAGAGTGTGTATGTGTGTTTCACAGGAAACAGCGGCTGTTTCACTGAACAGCATCAATTGAATTGACTTTGTTGTAACGGAGACGTAATATGTTTCCTGCGAGGTTTGAAAGGAATTCAGTCTTTAAAGGGTTAAAGAAACGAAGTTTGAGGAAGATTCGATCCCGTGACCATTGACGCACAAGTCCATTAAGTTAACTCATTAAGTAAGTAAGATGATGCAGTTCAAGTTACGTACAAGTGGCGGAATCTTGTAAAAAAGTCTCGTATATACACTTTATTCTTGGATTGTTTTATGACGCTGACATAACCTCAAACTGTAGGCAATAGCGTTGAGTGGTAGGAAGATTGGTTAATAATTAATTGGAAAGGATTTGGAAGGAATTGGACCTTCTCTGAACGAGGTACTATCCCGAAAATTGCCTGGGGGGAATTGAGAAAAACCAAGAATACTTCATTCCGGACTTCGGCGTCCAGACCGAGATTCGAACCCACCACCTCCGGCATGCACGTTCAGAGCGTTACGGCTGCACCAGTCTGCTCCGTTTATTATTTTGTCATTCTTTATTATTACTCTCGTTGCACATTCGTAACATCATTTCGGTTCGGATACATTATTGCGTAGCTATTTGATATAGGTTATAGTGCGACTTCCGAGTCTTGTTTAACTGTATTTCGGGATCAGTTGTAAAGGCTTCCAACGATGGTGTGTAGCATTCGAGGTTTTCATCTTTTGAACTTTGTCCTGAGTACGGAAGAAGATACAGCTTCCGAAACGTTGTGTTCTTTAGAAAACCGGGGTTTGGACAGACTCCAGAAACTCAGTAATCCAGAATATATTCCCCATATTCCATACGTTAGTTGAAAGAAAGAAAATTCTGAACATTTGCCTGTGTCTTAATTAAATTCGAAGCAGGGGTTAGTATTTACAACATTTAAATCACCGCTCATCTGGTAATAAACATTCTTTTCTCCTGTGAAACGAAACCAAGCAGGTAAAGGCAACTGTTATGCTATATTCAGAAGATACTGGGTTTGATGCTCACTGTAATTTGACTATACGGACTGTAGATTGTCGCAATATTTCCCCGCGCCCCTCAGATATCTTTAGAAAGGTCCTCAATCCTTACGTCCGAATCATATTCTTCAACACATAGTTACTATCATCTTTGCTCTTATTGCATGCTACTACACGTCACGATTCGGCAATTCGTATCCTGCTATTATACCCAAGGTTTCTGGTTCGATAATTTCCAGAGGCTATTTTTCTAACACATTTTTCGTAATGTTAGAGTCTATATAATTGAGCGCCTGAGCACTTCATTTTAAACGGACCACGGCCCTTCGTTTCATATCCGTGAATTCATCTTTCAATCTTATATTCTACGATTTATGACTTTACGTTTGAAACATCGTCCATAAATAACTACATTATTATTAGTAGTAGTATTATAAATACAAACCACTCCGTCCAATGTGACATATAAGTTTTTACTACGTTAAAACTTATCTCCCTTATATGTTTCGGTCCTTACGGGTCATATTCAGAGGGACCATCATTACAAACTGGAAACTACCATCACAA